ATTAGCAAATAATATTTTAGGTAACTTCAGTATTTCTTATGTATTTCAGGATTCAAAACAATTTCTTTAATAAAGATGTTAAGAAAAGCTAATCGTAAAGATCTATAAGTTGTTGTATTGCCTAAAACTGCATTAAGATAATTAGAATTTAGTAGAGTTTTCGCTATAATTTTTAAGTGTTATAGAGTGGAGATACTTTGGAAGTAGTATCAGTATCCACACAGTTACAGATCAAATAGTTTTTGTACGTTTTATAGTAAAACACTGGCGTATATCCCGTCAAAATCACGGGGCAAGCACTGCCACCACCACCCCATAGTATACCCTAACCTCACATTTCATAGCCAACTGAAATATATATATAAATCAAGCTTTACCAGCAAAGAGGCAGAAAAGTGCAATCGAGACAGTCAAACGTCGGTAAATTCCTTTGTGAGCCAATCAAAATTAAGATCATCCATGAAATGAATTCGTGGAGTATTTATAGAATAATTATTGGAAAAATCAGTTAGATTAACAACTTCTAATGTATAGAAAAGCCAATGCGTTTTGGTAACACTACGTTTCAACACTGGTTTTTTTATGTGATGCTGCTTAGCAACAAAAGTATAACCTAATATTGTTGTTAGTCTGTGCACTGAAAGTATAAAATGAAATGTATAGACAACAAAGCTGTAAAATGTTTGTTGATTGGTTAATTTAGAGTCTCCGCTGTTTCAAGAGGTTTTTTTTTTAAAAAAAAACGTTGTTGATGTAAAAGAACATAGCTTAATTCAGAAACGATTTAAGTTTATAATTGAATCGATATTTTTACTTTCATGATAAATTTTATGCATTTGGCTCTAAGCTAGGGGATCCCAATACACACTACGCTTATAAGGTTTCACGGTACTCACTTCCCCCTTTCACCCCCGTCACTAAAATCGTAATGGGCAGACAGTAATCGAACTATTCTATACGGATAAATGCATTTTGTTTTTTATGACTCCTCCCATTTTGGAGAAATCAAGCGTTACGTGACACACACTGGTTTTATATAGGTTAGAGTTTTGCTGTGTTTATATTATTAGTAACGTTCCTGTCTGTAAAGTCAATGAACTGGAAGACTTATGACAACTTACGAAAAATTTAGCAATTATTTTTACAGAAGTTTTTAACAGTTTAAACACTACAAGTTCTGCTGAGTTTTGTGCTTAGTTGCCAGGAAAAAAGAAACTTTAGGAAAAGAATGTATCTTCAACTTTCAAAAATAAATTAATTCGTTACTTTCTTATTAACTTTAGATGAATGCCATTTGGCTTTTATTTCATCCTCACCGGCTCACAACTTGGTAAACATGGCGTCACTAAAGCTTTAAATCGTACAATCTCTGACGTGGGGAATTTGAAGGCAGCGAATGGAGCACGAAGAACTTTGCCGTTTCCGTCTACTTTTTCTAAAGCTCCCATGATGGACACGTCTGTAGGACAACTAGATGACAGAAAAATAAACCATGCATGTGATATTTTATGACGTTTTAAGTAGAAAAATTATCTATTTAAATTTAAAATTCTATTACATACAGTTTCTTAGCAGTCCAAATATATTCCCTTAATCTAATACGCCAACAATGGCCTTCTACAGATTAGTATGTCCTAAATAATAAGTTGTCCTGTGAGCCAGCTTAAGGAAAAACAATGGCCTTCTACAGATTAGTATGTCCTAAATAATAAGTTGTCCTGTGAGCCAGCTTAAGGAAAAACAATGGCCTTCTACAGATTAGTATGTCCTAAATAATAAGTTGTCCTGTGAGCCAGCTTAAGGAAAAACAATGGCCTTCTACAGATTAGTATGCCCTAAATAAGTTATCCTGTGAGCCAGCTTAAGGAAAAAAAAAATTAAAAACAACAAAACTGAACAAAATATTTCTATACAAACTGTTAAAACAGCTGTTTACTGGAAAGCATCTTAAACAAGCAAATCAAACACAGGCGTCAAACGCAAAAAGACTCAAATGATTATTTTATAAACCTCTGCTCGTAATAATATTCAACCTTTTCACTGCGGCTGCTTTAAATGCACGAGGAATTTTTGCGAGTCGTACGCTGTATAAAGCACACTCGCATTCAACTTCCGAAGGCGGACCGTATCCTATACGGCGAATCAGCAGTCAATGTGTTGATATTTGTTGTTTAACGCAAAGCTACACGATGCGTGCCCACCACGTGTATCGAAACCCGATTTTTAGTGCCATAAGCCCACAGACTTACCTCGGTGCCACTGGGGCAATATTTAATTGCATGTTTGTTTTAGCTCATAGCTACACAATGGACTATCTATGCTTTGCCCACCTCGAGTAATGGAACACGATTTTTAGCGTAAAAATCCTCAGAGTAACTACTGAGTCACCAGAAGCTTAACAACTGAGATCATATCAGAATTTTACAAATACGTAGTCTATTTTATTATACAAATACACCGTTTAACAAACCTTATAAATCTGCAAGTTAAAACAAGCGTTGTAAAGCTGACAATGAAAAATCGGTATTCCTAAATGATTTATGTTTGAAGTTTAAAGAATGTGTTATGTTGAGTTTTGTGGATAGCAGATTTTCAGCTTCCCTACGGTTAATATGTAGTTGACTATGGCAAATGAAATACCAAGTTCGGAAAATAAGTTTTACTTATCACTAACAGAGGTCTACTTATTAACCCGATTTTTTGTTACATTTCTTCAAGAACAGATACTATCCCACAACTGGCTGTAGTCCAGAGGTCTCCCATTATTTACCACACCGGGCCACTTCAGGTAATGACCATAAAGTCTAAGTTTGTTGGGACTACATCATTATCTAAATATCTTTTTGCTTACTTTTGCAATATCTAATTACAGTGCAGGCCACGATGTGGCCCTCTGGCCGCCTATCGGGGATCACAGCTGTAGAGGGCGATGGGTAGTTTAAATGTGGGACATTATGAGCTTGAGTAGTCGTAACTACTCATCGTTTTTTTTCACATGTGAGACTAGCGAACATAGGTTAAATCTGATAGACGATGTAATTGTTACAGCTGTGTGGGTTCGACTTCTTCGGAAAACCCTCTTACTAGGGTACATTTTACCCTTCCCATCCCTTATAGCTCGTTTCAACAGAGATCTCAAATAGCATAAGCATTATTCTTACTTTTCAGTAAAACTAAACCTCTACATAAAACTATATATACATATTAGTCAAGTTAAAGTTAGATCCTTGACTTTCCTTTGCATGGTACACGTGATTGGTGATTTCGAACTCTGGTGTCAAGTTGTACAAACGTATGAGAATGGTGACCCGTGTCCTCTGGACGGGATGCCAGTCCAGAGCATGTTAACCTGCAGCCAGTATCCATCATACAGCTGGATAGATTGAAACAAGGGAGGGGGGATGTCTTGTTCAAGAACACAACTGAATGACGCGGGGCCAGCCTCAAACTCGCAACCATCCGAATACGAATTCAAAGCGCAAAGCCACTGAACAATGACACCAAAATATACAACTTGCAATAACTTAATTGGTTTTTCATTTCAAAGAATGTGATTAATGCTGAATGTTGTAATGAAGGTTTTGCCAACTAATAATAAAAAATAAGGAACAGGATATAAAATAATATAATAAAATTGGAAACAAATTATTTAGAGACAAAGTAATTCTGTTCATTATGAATAGAAATGCTACATACCCAAGACTATCGATAAGAAGAATTTCACTGTTATCAACTCCGTCCATAGCCACCAGTTCTCGGACAAATATCTCGTATGGACCTGCAAAGTTGAGTTAAGACCATTGTTATTTTTGCCATTAAACTTGTTACATAGGCACTTTCTCAACAGCGTTAGGGAAGGGTCGTCATTTTGCAGTGAGCCATTTTGCCACAAAAACTCCTAGTAGATTGGAGGTTCAAAGTAACAAGAAACAGATATTGAGGGGGATAAATTAATGGTTAAGGTGTATATTGAGTATGTTTGTTTGTTTTTAATTTCGTGCAAAGCTACATGAGTCGTGCCTAGTTTACCAGTGAAAGACTAGAGGGAAGGCAGCTAGTCATTATCATCCACCGCTAACTCTTGGGCTACTCTTTTACCAACGAATAGTGGGATTGACACCCCCCACGGCTGAAAGGGCAAGCATGTTTAATGGGATGGGGATTCGAATCCGCAGATGGCGAGTCGAGCGCCTTAACCACCTGGCCATGCCAGGCCATTGTCTATATTGAGAGGTGGAGGGAGATTACAACCCTATTTCTACCTTTTTTTGCTAAATCTGTATACAAGCTATAGAGTAATTACTTAAAATTATTATTAAGTGTTTTTTTACATAATACTGCTGCACAATGAGTGTCTGTTTTCGCATAGTACCAAAAGATATAGCGGATTAAAAACAAGACCCAAAAATGGACCTGTGCGGACAAAGAAAGGTGTCTTTAATTTCTCTTCTGAATGTATTGGTTGAGTCACACGAGACACAGTACATGATGTACTATCCATAACCATGACATTTCAGGATATCTATTCAAGTAGAAATATAAATTAGTTGATAATTCGGTGTGTTTGTAAACACGGGTTTGAGTTCTACCACATCACAATCAAAAAATCAAATACACCCAAATATTGTAAACTATATACGGCATAATATCTGTTAATGTGCTTTTATGAATACAAATGCTCTTACATCACACAAGAATATACCTGTTATGATATAACGTATGAAAACGCCTTAAATGATGTCAAATATAAGAATATACCCACAAAGATATTATACCAATAACATTTGTACTGAAACAACACACAAATCTGTGACAGTATCATATAAAACAACTCAAAAAACAAGAACCGTCATACGATTCGTCACTCGTCACTGAGTTTTAATAGGAAATTATTCAAATCTTATACAAATATAGGTTCAATTTGGTGAATAAAAACAAACTATAAACACCATACATAATATAGAGAGTATACCATTATAACAAGCATAGTCTTGTTTTTCGACTTTCCTTTGTCTAGTGTTAGTGAAGGGATAGAAGTCTCCGAATCCAGTATAACTCAATGAACCAAGTAATAAGTTGTGCTTCATATCTATTTTGTTTTTATAGGTTGTATGTTTCTTCCGCCACCTAAACGTTTATACCCAACTTACTTTATTGTAGCCCTTTATAAGAAAAATATTTTTTTTCATCTATTCCAGTAATTGGTATTTCTAAGGTGTCCTCAATAATTTTTGTAAAAACAAAAAGCATCATATATATAAGACATTATAAATAAACATCATAATGACTTACTGTTTTGATCCACAATGTCAAACTGCAGTGCAAGGGGGTCTCCTACTTGAGCCGATAGAATATCTTCTCCTGACCTGTCAGTGATTGTCATGGTGACGTTAGGAGAGCTTACGGTAGCCGACTGACTCCCACTCGTGTCTACCTCACTGGATGAATAATTATTTCATTGAATTCAGATTACTCGTGGCATATCACAAAGTCAACAAAGGTGTTGAACAGTGGCACATGTAATAAAAATTTAAGAAATAATTGTAATTCATAAGAATAATTATCTTTGAAGCGTGTAAATAAAAACGACGAACTGCTTGTAAAATCAAGGCATTGTCTAGGATTTAAACCAGTTTCATAAGCTTTACTTTATATTTCTTAAATACTTTGTTTGTTTGTAGTTAAGCGCAAAGCTACATAATGGGCTATCTGTGCTCTACCCACCACGGATATCGAAACCCGGTTTCTAGCGTTGTAAGTCCGTAGACATACCGCTGAACCACTGGGTGGGGTCCTTAAATACTAATTATGGTTAATGACTGAACAATTTAAAATGATTAAATTTACCCGTTTTCAAAATATATTTTTTTGTTTTCAAAAGTGCTCGTTTTTAGTCGTATAAAAGAGAATACGTTTTAACAGTGAATTTTTAACTCTTTTTAAAGTGATTTTAGATTTTAAAATTTTCTTTGAAAGGTTGAAGTACAAAAGACGCTTTGTTTTACTATTTTAAAGGTATTGTTTAAATTTAAAAATTGCAACTTTTCTAAGTTTTTAAATGATATTTTAATTTGATTTTATAAAACATTTTTTTATTCGATTATGATAAAGAGAATATATTTATTTTCCATAACGAACATAATATTATAAAAGCTTAGATGTCTTCATAGTTTTCATACAAATTAAAAAAACTAATGTGAAATTTAAAAATACGCACTATACAATTATAGAGGATCAGCTTGATCTAGAAAAGCTGTATAACATCAACTGTTTACGATAAAGTCATCAAACATTTTGTTTTCACAGTTACATCAAGTTGTATACCGTTTGCTATAATTCTGTTGGACAGCTTGTACTTACAATGAACACTTTAAATACTTGTCCTCTTACGTCAAGTTGTACACCGTTTGCTATAATTCTGTTGGACAGCTTGTACTGACAATGAACAATTTAAATACTTGTCCTCTTACGTCAAGTTTTACATCGTTTGCTATAATTCTGTTGGACAGCTTGTACTGACAATGAACACTTTAAATACTTGTCCTCTTACGTCAAATTGTACACCACAATTCAATTTGGTCACATTATGTTACGCTTCTGATGAACAGGCAATACATACAGAGAAAAAGACATAGTAACGAATACTTACCAGCTTACTTCAAGCTATACACCGTTTGCTACACATCTTTTGGACAGGTAATACAGACAGTGAAAAAACAGTTACAACTACTTACCCGCTTACTTCAAGCTGTACACCATTTGCTATACTTCTGTTGGACAGATCATACTGACACTGGACAGACAGCCCTAAATCCTGGTTTGTAACGATCATATCGTGATGTTGGATTACAATGTCATTAGAAAACTGGCCAAACCCCTGAGAAAAAGAGAAACTTCGTGTGATTCCACGACATTACAATTGTGACTGAATGTAACTTATAACAAACGAGTAATTAAAACACAAATATGATACTTCAGCGCTGGTAACATAACAACAAATAATTAATATTAATTCAATCACATAACGTGGGTCACAAAAAAACAAAAAAAAACAGCTTCAACAATTATATTGTTTTATTCATTTTATTTTGTATTCGAATAGAATTTCGACTGTTTCCAGGTGCAAACTATTCAATAAAAGTTAGAACATTGTGGGGAAAAATTGTTTAAATCAATATCATAATAAACAACTCTAATAGTAACCTAAGTATGTTTTTAATACGTTCCCTGGAAATGTAGAAGGATGTTTAATTCTGAAAAAAACATAAATAAACTAAAAGTGCCATTTAGCGAATTTTTTTTCTAAAAGATGTAATATTTTATTAACATACCTGTTGTTGAACGTCACAGTGAAGATCATTGTAAGACATTCGGATTTCAAAATCAAGTCTATTGACAACATCTTGAACACAAGTATTAGGTCTTTTCTTCGCGTAAACTTTTCCATTAAATAGTTTGTTGGATGTTACCTTGGCAACCATTTCTTTGGCTTCACAATGAATTGTCACTGTGAAAAAATTATCATTATAATTGCATATAAACATAGAGTTACTTACTTGTTAACTTGGGATTAAAAATAAGTACTTTAAAAATTCAATTGTTATGATTGGATTTTCTCCAGAAGTAAGAAATTTCAGTGGCATAGAAAGAGGGGGGAGGGCGGCCTGGGTCCCCTCACTTTTCAGTTTGTTCTAGTAAAAATAAATCGAAATTAGGAAAATTACTCTCACGAAAAGCAGGAGAATGTATAAAATTTATTCCTGAACCCAAGAGTTACCATGACCCTAAGGCGAGCCTTGGACCCCGGCCAGGTTAGGCGCGCCTGTGGCGCATATTCCTTTGCTTCATTTGGTCAAATAAACCTTGGGCCACCCACTTTTGACTCACCTCCTACACCCCTGAAATTAACATGATTATATGTACTTCATGATATTTATTGATCGTATGGGCTACTTACTAATCGTGGCAACAATATATTAATACTGATCATTCTTTTTACTGACCTCTTGTGGCGCCCTCTCGTAACAATCGATTTTAATACATGACTAAAAACAGCCCTGAGAAACTAAATTTTCTTTCAAATAAAACAAGTCTAAGCTTAACTAGGAGCCTTCTTTTCTATACAGAAAACGTGAAACTGACGTTTAAAGAAATAACCATTTGCGAAAATGTTTATATAATTACATTAGTAACAGTTTCCCGCAAAACACTAAATTTTTAATGTTAATTTTTATTTATATTGAAAACAGCAAAATAATATTTGCTCTTTGAGTATTAAACAAAAATATTTTGTTATTATTATTATAAGATATACTGTTAGATTTCTATGGTATAAGGTATCCTAGTTGGTCTGTGAAATATTAAATTTCTTTTGAGTGGTTATGACGTGCGTATATATTTTTGATGGAATAAATAGCGATCTTTAAAGTATCATCGCAAAAGTCTTCGTTAAAACAAGCAGATAACTCGTGGGTCGTTATCTTTCTCGTTATATATCATTCTATAAGTCTATGAATTATAAGTTTTTGTGATATAAGACTTGCTATTAGGTCTGTGGGGCATAATACATCTTACTGAGTCTAAGTGTTTCAGCGGTAAGCTTGAATGCTTATAACGCTAAAATTCAGGATTCGATACCTGTGGTAGGCACAGCACAAATAGGCCATTGTACAGCTTTGCGCTAAAACAAACTAAGGTTTGTTACAGTTGTAAAAATGTTCCTATTTATAATCTAAACTCTATAATTCAAGATGTTCCATTTGTTAAGTGTTTAGTATGTGAGACTCTACTAAGCCCGTGCATTTTCAGATGTTATACTTGTTCTGTGTAAAATTTTAAGCCCGTGCATTTCAAGATGTTTAACTTGTTCTCCGAAGCATGTGCTGTTATGTTGAGCCCGTGCATTGTAAGGTATTTTATTAGGTTTATGACATAAGATATCCTATATTAAGTCTGTGGCATATATTTTTAGACTTAAGAGGTATACGGTACTCTAGTTGGTCTGTGAGATATAACATTTGTTTGTGTGGTATACGTGCATTATATTTTTGATGAGATAAATAACCACCTTTAAAGTATCATCGCAAAACTCACCGTTATAACAAGCAGATAACTCATAGGTCGCTACCCCTCGCGTCTCTAAGTAAGGGTCTTCGATGTGTGTGAGTGAAGCTGAAGAATGGTGACTTAGCCGACAGACCCGGCTTGCTGTATCACTCATGTCGAATGAATGGCACCGATAGGGGACGCTAATGCACATCTTCCGGCATTCATCTAGCGAAGTGATATTTTCAAAGACGGCGTCCACTGTCTTCACGATTCTTCCATTCACTTTCTTGAACTCACACAATCTAACGCCCTCTAGGAAGAGAACGGATAGAAACTTATGATATTCTACATTCACAGCAAATGTCCTGCTAACGCGGAAAAGTTTCAAACTATATATCATAAACGATAAAAAGGAAACATTATTTAATATATGTAGCTGGATAATAGATCTAGCTGAAGGTAAGCTTACGTTATAGTCAGAACACAATGAAGGACACCATGAAGATTATAGAGCGAGTTGTTGCTGCTACATGCACATATCCCCAGGTTAGTTAAGTATGGGGTGGATTAATAATAATAGAAATATTCTTAATTTGTAGTAAACATCTCAACATTTCTTTGTAAACAGTTTAACTTTAAAGTTTGTGTTTGTCGTTTTACTTACAATAAAATCGTAGACATTAGAATCGAAGAGACACTTGGTTGCAAATGACTTAGAAACCGATTCTCCATCACTCTCCGTCTAAAGTGTTATAGAGGAGAGTGAGAAAGGAAATGTTACAAAATAATTTCGCTTACCATCAACACAGTTGTTTTCCAAGTACTCAATTTTGTCACCAGATGGCGCAAAATACCTGCTTTCGGGAACAGAGTGCCTATCCATGTCGCTAATAGCACATTCACCGGTAGATGAGTCAAAGTTGGCCGAACGACATTGGAAACTATGTTCTTGAAGACATTTCTCCATGCATGCTTCCCTTGATGTGGCTGAATACCTCTTACGGGTCAAGTCTCGAAGTTCATGCGCTATGACCCGTTCAAACATCCAAACTCTGTTACAGGGCCTCGTACCTGAAATTAACAAAATCATTTATGCGATTATTGGACGATTAGATTAATAAACTGTTAGTTGAATAAAGAAATATCAAACCTGACGAAAACAAGAATGGCTCAAGTATTACAGAAGACGGTCGAAACATGTTAGCATTTCAAAATAACTAAACATATGTGAATTAAATGAAAAATTTTCGAATAAACACAGGAAATCACAGAGCAGTCATATGCAGCATTTGGTTATATTATCTGTGGGTTAGGAGTTAAAATATTTAACAGACATTTTGAAAATATTACAGCGATAAAAAAAATGCTGAAGAGAGTCGGTATTTTTAGGCTAACCACTCCCATTATGAGGGATTATGACGCTAAATTTATAGTTTCGACACCTGCGGTTAGCACAATGCATATAGCCCATTGCACAGGTACTTCTTGTTACAGTCGTAAATATTTTTTTTTTTTTTATGATATAAAGCCTGTGCGGTTTAAGATGTTTCATTTGTTCTTTGTAGCATGTAATATTTCATTTGTTTTGTGTAGCATGTAATATTTCATTTATTCTTTGTAGCATGTAATATTTCATTTGTTCTTTGTAGCATGTAATATTTCATTTGTTTTGTGTAGCATGTAATATTTCATTTGTTCTGTGTAGCATGTAATATTTCATTTGTTCTTTGTAGCATGTAATATTTTATTTGTTCTTTATAGCATATGATACAACCCCTATACTTTAAGTTATCCCATGTATTCTAAGCTATTAAGCCCGTGTATTAACTATATTTAGTTTGTTGTGTGCAGCAAGTGATATGTTATCATATCTATGCATTACAAGATTCAAAATATAGTGAAAAAAACGGTGCTTACTATTGCCTCTAAAATAATTTGCCCAACTGTCAACCGGCTAAATTCACGTGTGTGCTGCACCTTAAAAGATACTATATTTGATTATATGGGGTATATACAAGTGTATTTGGCTGTTATTCGACAACACAAACATTTTTTTCTTATGTTTTACAAAGATTATCTGTGTTGTATCGAAACCAGGTTTTTAGCGTTATAAGCCTGCAGACTTACCGCTAAGCTACGGAAGGGGGAGGGGG